TTGTGTCATTTCGTACGTCATCTTGATATTCATCGATTGGAGGAACGATAACATGCGACTTGTAAAGCCTGAAAAGAGACACACAAGAGTCAACATGGACAGAGACACGGACGGCGAAATAAGATCAGTATATACATCCAATGTGTGCTCTGAAATGCGTTTGGTTACAACGAACGCGTTACATAAAATGGACTCCTTCGGACCATCTGATTGTGCAAGTAGACAGAATAAAATGGACCCGAGCAGACTGTGAAATAGGAAGGTGAGTAAAGGATTCCTTGCAGTCTTTCTTGAAAATCGTACTTGTAAGGATGCATGTCATTTGCGCGAAATGGCGGGTCAAAAGTGTGGTTTCAAGGATGTGTCGTGAACGACAGGTTGGATAGTGTGTTTGTTCAAGACAAATGAGAGTAGACATCATCGTGAGTGACGAGAAAACAATAGGAGTCGCTCAAAGTACGCCGAATGGCTTGGAGTGTAAAAAGGGAAAAAGTTAGGTTCTACCGGGATTCGAACCCGGAATACAGGATTCAAAGTCCGGGGTGCTAACCATTACACTATAGAACCTTCCTGAGAGACACACAACGCACCACACATCAAAACGCATCAATACACACCATTCGCATACGCTACACCTCCTCGCATCAACACACAATCATTCACACTTTCATACTCCTTCTACGACCGATACTCCAAACTTCATACCACCTCCTCGATCGGTTTTGTACCCACTCGTATTCATCTCTCTGCATGCAACAAACATGCATATGCAAAAAAACAAAAGACATACACACTCTCTCTGTCGTCTCATTACTTTGTTTTACGCTCGACAGATTCCCTGTCTCGGTCCTCTCGCAGTTTCATTTGCGTCCCACATTGTAGTCGATGGTTTTCTGTCCACTTGTGTCATTTCGTACGTCATCTTGATATTCATCGATTGGAGGAACGATAACATGCGACTTGTAAAGCCTGAAAAGAGACACACAAGAGTCAACATGGACAGAGACACGGACGGCGAAATAAGATCAGTATATACATCCAATGTGTGCTCTGAAATGCGTTTGGTTACAACGAACGCGTTACATAAAATGGACTCCTTCGGACCATCTGATTGTGCAAGTAGACAGAATAAAATGGACCCGAGCAGACTGTGAAATAGGAAGGTGAGTAAAGGATTCCTTGCAGTCTTTCTTGAAAATCGTACTTGTAAGGATGCATGTCATTTGCGCGAAATGGCGGGTCAAAAGTGTGGTTTCAAGGATGTGTCGTGAACGACAGGTTGGATAGTGTGTTTGTTCAAGACAAATGAGAGTAGACATCATCGTGAGTGACGAGAAAACAATAGGAGTCGCTCAAAGTACGCCGAATGGCTTGGAGTGTAAAAAGGGAAAAAGTTAGGTTCTACCGGGATTCGAACCCGGAATACAGGATTCAAAGTCCGGGGTGCTAACCATTACACTATAGAACCTTCCTGAGAGACACACAACGCACCACACATCAAAACGCATCAATACACACCATTCGCATACGCTACACCTCCTCGCATCAACACACAATCATTCACACTTTCATACTCCTTCTACGACCGATACTCCAAACTTCATACCACCTCCTCGATCGGTTTTGTACCCACTCGTATTCATCTCTCTGCATGCAACAAACATGCATATGCAAAAAAACAAAAGACATACACACTCTCTCTGTCGTCTCATTACTTTGTTTTACGCTCGACAGATTCCCTGTCTCGGTCCTCTCGCAGTTTCATTTGCGTCCCACATTGTAGTCGATGGTTTTCTGTCCACTTGTGTCATTTCGTACGTCATCTTGATATTCATCGATTGGAGGAACGATAACATGCGACTTGTAAAGCCTGAAAAGAGACACACAAGAGTCAACATGGACAGAGACACGGACGGCGAAATAAGATCAGTATATACATCCAATGTGTGCTCTGAAATGCGTTTGGTTACAACGAACGCGTTACATAAAATGGACTCCTTCGGACCATCTGATTGTGCAAGTAGACAGAATAAAATGGACCCGAGCAGACTGTGAAATAGGAAGGTGAGTAAAGGATTCCTTGCAGTCTTTCTTGAAAATCGTACTTGTAAGGATGCATGTCATTTGCGCGAAATGGCGGGTCAAAAGTGTGGTTTCAAGGATGTGTCGTGAACGACAGGTTGGATAGTGTGTTTGTTCAAGACAAATGAGAGTAGACATCATCGTGAGTGACGAGAAAACAATAGGAGTCGCTCAAAGTACGCCGAATGGCTTGGAGTGTAAAAAGGGAAAAAGTTAGGTTCTACCGGGATTCGAACCCGGAATACAGGATTCAAAGTCCGGGGTGCTAACCATTACACTATAGAACCTTCCTGAGAGACACACAACGCACCACACATCAAAACGCATCAATACACACCATTCGCATACGCTACACCTCCTCGCATCAACACACAATCATTCACACTTTCATACTCCTTCTACGACCGATACTCCAAACTTCATACCACCTCCTCGATCGGTTTTGTACCCACTCGTATTCATCTCTCTGCATGCAACAAACATGCATATGCAAAAAAACAAAAGACATACACACTCTCTCTGTCGTCTCATTACTTTGTTTTACGCTCGACAGATTCCCTGTCTCGGTCCTCTCGCAGTTTCATTTGCGTCCCACATTGTAGTCGATGGTTTTCTGTCCACTTGTGTCATTTCGTACGTCATCTTGATATTCATCGATTGGAGGAACGATAACATGCGACTTGTAAAGCCTGAAAAGAGACACACAAGAGTCAACATGGACAGAGACACGGACGGCGAAATAAGATCAGTATATACATCCAATGTGTGCTCTGAAATGCGTTTGGTTACAACGAACGCGTTACATAAAATGGACTCCTTCGGACCATCTGATTGTGCAAGTAGACAGAATAAAATGGACCCGAGCAGACTGTGAAATAGGAAGGTGAGTAAAGGATTCCTTGCAGTCTTTCTTGAAAATCGTACTTGTAAGGATGCATGTCATTTGCGCGAAATGGCGGGTCAAAAGTGTGGTTTCAAGGATGTGTCGTGAACGACAGGTTGGATAGTGTGTTTGTTCAAGACAAATGAGAGTAGACATCATCGTGAGTGACGAGAAAACAATAGGAGTCGCTCAAAGTACGCCGAATGGCTTGGAGTGTAAAAAGGGAAAAAGTTAGGTTCTACCGGGATTCGAACCCGGAATACAGGATTCAAAGTCCGGGGTGCTAACCATTACACTATAGAACCTTCCTGAGAGACACACAACGCACCACACATCAAAACGCATCAATACACACCATTCGCATACGCTACACCTCCTCGCATCAACACACAATCATTCACACTTTCATACTCCTTCTACGACCGATACTCCAAACTTCATACCACCTCCTCAATCGGTTTTGTACCCACTCGTATTCATCTCTCTGCATGCAACAAACATGCATATGCAAAAAAACAAAAGACATACACACTCTCTCTGTCGTCTCATTACTTTGTTTTACGCTCGACAGATTCCCTGTCTCGGTCCTCTCGCAGTTTCATTTGCGTCCCACATTGTAGTCGATGGTTTTCTGTCCACTTGTGTCATTTCGTACGTCATCTTGATATTCATCGATTGGAGGAACGATAACATGCGACTTGTAAAGCCTGAAAAGAGACACACAAGAGTCAACATGGACAGAGACACGGACGGCGAAATAAGATCAGTATATACATCCAATGTGTGCTCTGAAATGCGTTTGGTTACAACGAACGCGTTACATAAAATGGACTCCTTCGGACCATCTGATTGTGCAAGTAGACAGAATAAAATGGACCCGAGCAGACTGTGAAATAGGAAGGTGAGTAAAGGATTCCTTGCAGTCTTTCTTGAAAATCGTACTTGTAAGGATGCATGTCATTTGCGCGAAATGGCGGGTCAAAAGTGTGGTTTCAAGGATGTGTCGTGAACGACAGGTTGGATAGTGTGTTTGTTCAAGACAAATGAGAGTAGACATCATCGTGAGTGACGAGAAAACAATAGGAGTCGCTCAAAGTACGCCGAATGGCTTGGAGTGTAAAAAGGGAAAAAGTTAGGTTCTACCGGGATTCGAACCCGGAATACAGGATTCAAAGTCCGGGGTGCTAACCATTACACTATAGAACCTTCCTGAGAGACACACAACGCACCACACATCAAAACGCATCAATACACACCATTCGCATACGCTACACCTCCTCGCATCAACACACAATCATTCACACTTTCATACTCCTTCTACGACCGATACTCCAAACTTCATACCACCTCCTCGATCGGTTTTGTACCCACTCGTATTCATCTCTCTGCATGCAACAAACATGCATATGCAAAAAAACAAAAGACATACACACTCTCTCTGTCGTCTCATTACTTTGTTTTACGCTCGACAGATTCCCTGTCTCGGTCCTCTCGCAGTTTCATTTGCGTCCCACATTGTAGTCGATGGTTTTCTGTCCACTTGTGTCATTTCGTACGTCATCTTGATATTCATCGATTGGAGGAACGATAACATGCGACTTGTAAAGCCTGAAAAGAGACACACAAGAGTCAACATGGACAGAGACACGGACGGCGAAATAAGATCAGTATATACATCCAATGTGTGCTCTGAAATGCGTTTGGTTACAACGAACGCGTTACATAAAATGGACTCCTTCGGACCATCTGATTGTGCAAGTAGACAGAATAAAATGGACCCGAGCAGACTGTGAAATAGGAAGGTGAGTAAAGGATTCCTTGCAGTCTTTCTTGAAAATCGTACTTGTAAGGATGCATGTCATTTGCGCGAAATGGCGGGTCAAAAGTGTGGTTTCAAGGATGTGTCGTGAACGACAGGTTGGATAGTGTGTTTGTTCAAGACAAATGAGAGTAGACATCATCGTGAGTGACGAGAAAACAATAGGAGTCGCTCAAAGTACGCCGAATGGCTTGGAGTGTAAAAAGGGAAAAAGTTAGGTTCTACCGGGATTCGAACCCGGAATACAGGATTCAAAGTCCGGGGTGCTAACCATTAGATCGCATAATCATTTTCTGTGCATTTATAAATTTTCACAGAACATCAAAAATTACCCTTGTTATATCACACATTAGGCTGGTTTTCAGCAAATACAAACTTTGGGAGTTATGTTCCAACACAATCCAAAAAATCGAGATAAATCGAAATGACTGCGTTGTATAAAATAGAATGCATATGCTGCAAGACAACCGTACGTATAGAACAACCCAGTCTAACATTGAGTATTGAGGCACTTCCCGACGAAAGAGAGAGTAATATCTAGCCACCTGTAGAACTACAGACGACGAAGATAGAATGCAAATGGTAAATAAATCCATTGCGCGACTCGTAGCGCTCTTCTCCGCAAGCATTTCAACTTTGTCTCCAAATCCAACAACCATGCCATCAAACGCCGCTGAGATTGTCGCCCGGCTTCAGCGCGCCCTTGAAGACGACCAAGCGAACCGAGAATCGTGCATGGATCAATATGGTGATCTTGTTGATCACGTTGAAGAGATGCAATTGATGGCGACTCCCCGATTTTTGACGATTTCTACAACTCGGGTGGCGACAATTCCATTACTACCTTGATAAACTTCACATCGCACGAGTTCAACAACCTATGGCGTGTGGTAATGCCACAACTTGCTGCGGCGTGGACTCTTGGCCGTGGACTCAAGCCTTCGATGCTGCCAAAGGACGCCCTGTTTGCAACACTGCTTGTCCTCAAGCATTTTGATAGCTGGGACAAGCATGGAATTGATCTTGGCATTCGCTCATCCACTCTTGAGAAGACAGTGTACAAGGTGATCGACATTGCCGGCGATGTTCTTTATGAGCACTTTGTCAAACCTGTCGACATGGCGTCACAAAACCAGAATGGAGTTACGTTTTTAAATTACCCTTACGCATTGTACGCCACGAACGTCAAATTCCAGCCAGCGTACAAGCCCGCTGGTCGTTTTGAGGGGCAAAAGGAGTACTTCTCTGGAAAACATAAGCTTTATGGATACAAGATTGAAGTATCTGTCGCTCCACCTGGGATTGCCGTTCTGTCAACCCAACATTACCCAGGATCAAAAGCTGACGTCAGCATTTTCCACGACAAGATCGACAGACACTACTTGCAGCTATCCAAATCAGAGTCTGAAAAGAACCAAGCCGATTACGGTGAGCTCGGTGTCGAGTATCCAGACCATTGGGCTTTGCTTGTTGACATGGGATATCAAGGAGCAGCAAGAAGCATTCGTGCTATTCAGCCTACAAGAAAGCCGAGGGGTGCAACTTTGACTCACGATCAGATTTCCCCCAACAGTCGCGTCTCATCTGATCGCGTGCTTGTTGAAAACTACTTTGGGCGCATGTGCAACTTGTGGAATTCAATGTATGTTTCGTACAAATGGGACACTGCTCTTCGAGTCGGGATCAATTATCGGCTCGGTCATCATCCAGTCATAGCGCTTGGGAATTTATAGGGTTTTAAGAACTTCGTCAGTAGCTTCCTCGTCGATTGCATTGATAACTTGATTGCCGAGGTAGTCGTGGAAATATCACACCTCCTCCTTCGTCACTGAATGGCACAGGCTCAAAGTCTTTGCTCGCTTCCGGTGGCGCTCGCTTCTCTTCCACATTTTCACTTCAGGCCTGTGTATTTGACGCTACTAGCTGGCTCGCCTTCGGGTTCACGTGCAGATGGTGTGCTCTTGCAAACTCGCATAGTTTCCTGGCGCTGCACTTTCGCTTGCCAGCTTTCAAATTTGCACTCGCATCATAAGCTTTACGGTTCATCGATTGACCACCATTACCGCCATTTCTAGTTCTCTCTGGAGACTTGGATCTGGTCAAGTCGGTCTTCAACTGCTTCTTCCTAGGCGTTGCATTACAGGCACACTTCAGACGACGTTCGATTGAAACTCGTATTTCTTTTCGTCTCTCTGTCATCCCTTCGGTTCCAGCCGTCTTGGTCCCCATGATTGGGCTGTATTAGGCAGATTTCGCAAACTGTTCCATTCCCGTTGCCACACATTTTCCTCTAAACGACAAGCCTCTAATATTCAATATTTCTTCCCGTGGATTTGCTTAATTGTATGGCAAGCATTCCGTTGCCATTCAAGTTTGTCGAGTTCATGTGCGACACGTCAAGTGAAGCTCCAACCACAGAGCCATCAAAGCGACGGAACTGGACCCATGATGAAGACGTCATTCTACTGAAACAAGTGATTGTCGATGCCCCGTTTGCAGCAAGCACGGGAAGAATCACCGATGTTTGGAACGTCTTGGCGGATGCGCTGAAGACTTAAGTGAAATTCGGGCGGGAAGTTGATGGAAAAAGTGTCAGAATCGATTCATTTCCCTCTGCCAAGTTCATAAAGCGGACAATGCGACAAGCGAACGAATGTCTGGCATCAATGAAGAAGAGGACGAAAAGACGCAGCTCCTTGACAATGTATTTGAATTAACCTTTATTCCCTACCCACCTTGTCCTATATCTAGGACAGTCAACTTCGTGATGTTAGAGATCGATTCACTAGACGACGTAGGCTCAACGCACTCACATTAGACTGCTGATCAATTGTGCAATCAAACGTGTAGCGATAAGTGGGTCTTATACACCGTTGTGTCGACGTCAAGTGCTCCGGTCCAACCAAAGATTGGACGACAACTGAAAGTGCTGCGATTATCTCAACTTCATTTATGTCCTATTGTTCATCATAGGAATGATACTGTTCGTGTTAAAGACCCTAGTACCAGTCCCTTCGTGTTCGTGGAGTTTTATCGATGTCCCAACTGCACAGCCCCCATTTCTCCATTTCTTCGCAACAAGTGGGCCAAATTGAATGCGAGAACGAGCGGACGAGACGAATCACGCTGGGTGATGCGGGAATCGAGCATAGACGAATACACATTGCAAGCAGGTATCATAGCCTCAGGTCGAGATGAAAAATATAGTTAAGTCCATTAAAGCTGGTCGATTAATTTCACGACTGAATACAGTGGTGATTCATTCTCAATGCAGACCTGAACCGTATTAGCCACTGCCAAAAAGCACATCATATGATCCTCGATGCGATGTCGATAAACACACTTCAAGACGCCAAACTGTTTTAGTCTTGCATTGGCAGTTTCATGCCTAGCCATGATTTTCTTCTGTATACTTGCAGATTCTGGGTTGTACGTTGGATTCACGAAAAAGTCGCGATCCATGTACCCCTTGTCGGCAAGTGTCATTTCACCTGGTAAGACCGCCATAACATAAGCTTCTCGCGCGAGCTTGAGGTCTGACCACTCTCCAGCTGGTTTACTTCCGTTGACCCAAACGATATGACCTGATCGTATACAAATTCCCAGTTCGTAACGTAGTGCGGACTTGTTGAATTTGTGAGACCACCATTTACGATCAAATGGTGTTGGTTCATTGATAACAAAATCGGTGCCATCCAAGGATACCAAGATATTTGCTCCTCGTAGAGCCAAATCGAATCGACGATTCCAGGTTATCTACAACCATTATAATTAAAATCACCACGAACATCTTACCACTTGCATTCATGCAAGAGCATCTACCATAATCCATGTCCATTTTCGAAAGGTCTTCTCGTCTACTTGACACAATGCCGCATGGACGTGCTCCGTTGCATAAACTTTGAGAAACAGAAGGGCCCATAGCAAGTGACAGGGCTTAGCATCTGAGGGTGTTGGCTGCAGATCTTTCCACAGAATGGAGGCAATGCTGGGTGATACACCAAACATTGACTTGAATCGTCTTCCTGTTTGAGCTTTGTTTGGGTATTTGCGTGTCAGTAATGGCTGAGCTATGTGCCAAATGCAGTCGTTGTCCATTCTTCGTTTGCTGTGAAAATGAGGAATGCTTTAATTGAGCGCATGATAGTCTCATTAGGTCCGAAATACAAGCCATGATATTTAAGATTTTTGTGAGTTCAAAATATTGTAAAAAAATCAATATATTGATGAATGTTTCGAAATATTTCAAAATGTTTTTTTAATATTCTTCACAAGCTCTTTTCCTCTGGCTTGAGGAGTTCTAGCTAACTCACACAAATTACTTAGACATCGAAACTTCGTGAGTGTAAACTGCACGATATCATCTATGGGCTCACCGAGCGATTTTGTCCAGTTCGATGTACAGACTCTGGAAATCAATGTCAAAAACACGAAATTTTCGCAAAACAGCAAAATTTGGCATCTTTCAACTGTAATATCACCATCAGTTATGAGGCTACCACGTTCAACCTTACATAAATGTGTTAGCCTCGACTACGTCTGTGACATCCCACTACCTCGCACCATGGAATGAAATGGATCGGAAGAAAAGCGACTGTAAACGTAGCACTATAGGGCCCTATCCTACTAAGATTCTTCATGAAAATATTTCGAAATATTTGTATTTTCAACCGAAAAAATGTTCAATAATTTCATGTATTTTTCAAGTAAATTTGAATATATATCGTACTTAAATGGAGAAAAGGCGCGAGAATTTCATTTCTCAAATGCCACGTTGGACCAAGGATTGCGCCGCTCAGAAGAAGCTTGAGCAGCTCATTGACGATCAAGCTATCACAGCCCACACCAAGCCTGCAATCGCCTTCAATCTAGCACCAGAAGTTTTCCACGACTTCAATTTCCCTGCCTTTCGAAACCATTTTGAGTCAACAATGAAATCAAAGTTTCAAACACACGCTGGTATGATCGATCGGAGTTCGCTTATGAATTTACTCTAGGAACAAAAAGAAGTGCAGCTGCAATGGACGTGGAGAACGACACTAGTAGTGTCCATGTCTTGCAAGACTGTCTCACGGCTATTCCAGCTTGGAGTAATGCGATTCAAGTTCACAAGGCGGAAGGAATTGTTGCAATATATTTCGACTATTCCAAAGACGAGACTGTTGTTGTCGTTGTGCTTACCCCACCGCCTGGTGCTATCGTAACATGTCAGATCGATGAGCAAGATACGTCGGTGTTGCGGGTGAAATGGGAATGGACAAGACAAACACGTGATCCCGAGTTCCTCC